CCCGCACGGGCATTGCCACCATCGCCGCCGCCACCGCCGCCGCCAGCGAACGCTTCGGAGGAGGAGGAGGATGGCAGCTTGGTGGGGCGAGAGGCGCTGCTCACCGGACTGGCGGGGAAGCCGCACCTCAACGGCTGGCGGGTGACGATCGGCAAGTACAAGTCGGAGGGCGAGGCCAAGGGGCGGTACATCATCCGCGTGGCAGGCGAGAAGCTGGCCCTGCGGCGCGCAAACCTCCGGCTCGTGCCCGTGCCCGGCCACGAGAGCGAGCAAGACAGCGAGGGTACGGAGGCGGACTCGGACTCGGAAGACTTGCTCGAGCAGGCGTGCCGCGCGCACGGGGTCGCTGCTCCGGTCCCGCGGGTCAGCCGTGGGGGCGGGGGCGGGGGCGGGGGCAGCAGCGGCGGCGGCGGTGATGGCGGCGGCGAGGGCAGCAGCGGCGGCGGCGGCGGTGGCGTGCGTCGCTGCAGGCTGGTGCTCGGCTCCGGGCTCGCTTCGAGGCCCAGGTTCGGAGCCTTTCTGGATGAGTTCTGGCCAGCCGGCTGGAGCCGCGAGGCTGCCTCAGCGCCGCCTGGCACGTGGCTGCAGATCTGGACGTCGCAGGGCGCTCTCTCCTCAGCCCTCCACGCCGTGCACGTGTCTTCGGCTGAGGCGCTCGTCGGCAGCTTGCGGCACTGCGTCGACAACCTGTCGCCGCGCGAGCGTGCCTCTCTTCAGGCGGTTGTGGCGCGGCCGGAGGAGAGGGAGGCCCACCCTCTCTTGCTCGACACGGCACGTGCCGCCGCCCAGCACCTCGCTCGCAGCTTGCCGGCGCCGAGCGACCCGCTGCCCCTCCGGCCCGGGGGACGGCGGCGGTGCTCGCGGCTGCTGGTGGTCGTCGGGATGGAGAAGGTGTGTGCCACCTCCCACGCCACCAGCTTCGGGGTCCTCTCCTCCTCCTCCCGTTGGCCCTCACTCGCAGCTCGCTCGCCTCTCTCAGATCCGCAACGGGCACGCGGGGCTCAAGAAGGAGTCGCCGCTCCTGCAGCAGGTAGCCTGGCCGCTCGCACGAGCGACACTGCTGGCGCTCCAGCTGGCGCCTGGCCCAGAGGGAGGGGAGGGCTTCAGTGTCCTCTCTGCGAGAGAGGAGTCGCACGTGCACGGGATTGTGAGAGGCTTGGTTCGCGCCTGCCACCGCCGGGCTCTGCTCGGTCTGCGCGAGGGGCAGCCTCAGTGAGATCCAGAGGTACGCGGCTACGGCCGTACGGGTGATTACGTTATCTTCGCCGCGCGGGAGGGGAGCGAGTGAGAGAGAGAGAACAGAGAGTGTATTCCTACACGCACGCCGGCGGGGACAGCGTGTGTCAGCGACACTAGCGTTTGCATGACCTGTGTACACGCGGATACATGAGACAAAACTCAGCTAGAGTGTAGGGGGCCATGGCTTCGAATCTCCACGCTCCACAGCTCTCACTCCCACCCACGACGGTTCGCGTGTGGTACACCAACCATACACATCTGCATCGCTGCGCTCACGGCTCAGCGTGCTTGCCATCACCGCATGGCGCGGCGGCGGGACATGGCGAAGGAGGCCGCGCCGCCGGACGTGTCCTGGCAGCAGCGCGGCAGCGCCGGGTCCCTGGGCGGCTCGGGCGGTCCCTCCTCCCACCCCACCCTCTTCAGCCACGCGTCCACGTACCCCATCGCCGGCCCGTTGCTCGCCCACCCGTCGGCGAAGCGGAGCATCAGCTCGTCGGGCAGCGCCCACCACTCCGCCAGGATCACCTCCGCCTCCGCGTCGCTCGTCGCCGCGAGGGACGCTGCCGCCGCTGCCGGCGAGTCGGCGCGCACTCGCTCCCACGCGGCCGCCTCGAGCCGCCGCTGCACTGCGCGCACCACCCCCATCATGTCCGAGTACCGCGCCCGCGCCAGGTTGAGGACGAACTTATGCGCCCAGTAAGCGGAGCGGCGAGACACGCTTCGCGGGTCCGCGTCGGCGTGCGGCGCGGGCACGGCTTGCGCGCCGATGTGCAGCGGCAGGAAGCAGGTGCCGTGCGCGGCGTGAGGACCGTACCATGCGACGCCGCCGATGGTGGGCGGGAGCCAGCCGCGCGCCTAAAGGTGGGGGGCGTGCGGGAGTGCACACAGCGCCCTGGGGAGCATCACTGTGCTGTCGTGCGATGCCGGGCCCGGGGCTGTGCTTTTGCGTGAGAAGCGCCTCTTCACAGCTCTCGGTGTGAACAGGCGGCCAGCCGCCGCGCCTGCACGACGTGGGTCTGCGAGGTGCGGTACAGCGCAATGGACCGCTCCCACGCGCCTCGCAGCTTTGTGACGCCCGAGGCGGAGTACCTGTCGGGGTTGGCGAAGGCGCCCGCCGCCGCGCCGGCGGTCATGTCGAAGGGCGTGCCTTGGTACATGTCGCGGTGAACTGCGATGAGGTCGAGTGGAGAAAGCTTGCGCCGCGTGCTCACAGTCGCTGGGTAGACGGGCGAGGGTCGCAGGTCGGAGTAGTCGCTCGGCATCGGGACGTCGGGCGCGAGCAGCCGGTACGCCCCCCACAGACGTCGGCCAGAGTAGAACTTGTGCGCATACTCGCCGTCGCTGTACACGCGTGTGAAGTCGAGCGGTCCGTCGGACGGCCTCCACCAGCCGCTCCGCTGCGCGATCTCGTGCACCGAGTCGGAGAAGAGAAAGTCGGGCTGGCCGCGCGTCGTCCGGTTGGGGAGGAGGTGGCGGATCGTGAACATGTTTGCGACGACCCCAACCTGGCTGTCGCCGACGCGCTGCGCTGCCCAGACGGCAGACTTGCCACTGTGGTCAGGCAGGACGTGGAAGATGAAGCCCTCTCTCGGATCGATCACCATCAGCGACTCGCCGGTCCCTTCGAAGCTTCCCGCACCGTAAAAGCCCTCCGCGACGGCGAGGTCTCCCATTAGCTGCACCGCCTCGCGTGCGCTCTTCGACCGCTCCAGCGCGATGCGCGAGAGCGAGTCGACAGAGAAGAGCGCGTGGCCTCCGTGGCCACGCGCCTGCGCCCCGAAGACGGAGGAGCACGTGGACTCGCCGATGCCGACCTGGTGCTCGTTGAGGATCCCGTACGTCGCCTCAAAGTAGCCAAACGTGTGCTCCACCTGCGGAATGTGGCCAATCGGCACCGAAGCGTTGAAGCCCGGGTTGTTCTTTTGAAGGTACGCCTCGACGCCACGATCGCCGACGAATCGAGGGAAATCCTCTGTGTCGTAGTAGATTGGCCGCGTGGCACCCGGCGCGTGGTCCATGGCCGGGACGTACACGACCCGAGCATCGGGGTTGCTCTCACCGTCGTCCGAGTGCGTCGCCATGACTGAGCCGTCCACGCTCGCGTCCTTGCCGACGATGAGTGTGGTGCAGGCGGTGGTGTGGCGCGCGGCCAGAGCGACGAGGAGCGAGGTCGCCCACATACCAGACAGATGGATCGGAGCGGGCCCGCTGGGCACAAAGGCAAGCGAATAGTCGGCGGCGTGGTAGAACCAGGGTTGTAGAGTCACACCTAGGAGTCGCACAACCAGGCACACCAGGACCCGACCGCAGCAGGGTTTGGACTTCTCCGCGGGGTATGGTACGGTCGGCTCCGCAACCCACCTCGAGACCATACCCCCCCCCCCGCCTGCTGACAGACCCAGCCTCCCGGAGACCGGGGATGGGCGGTCAGGACCATACCCCCCCACCCTTTGGGCCGCGAGGGTACCATACCATACCCCGGAAAAAGTTGAACCCAGAGGCTGGAGCGAAAGGAAGAAATGGAGACCGCCTGTCCATACCCGGTAGGTCTCCCCTACACAAGTCCCAGATCTGCTCTCCACAGCAGCTGCTGTCACTGATTGTCCGTGGTCAGAAAGAAAGAAAGAAAACAAACAAGCCAAACGAGGGATAGGGGAGGAGGACAGGGTCCCCACCTGCACGAGCAGGATTTTGGAAGGACGATCAGGGGCACAGGTGGGGCTCTCCAGCTCCTGACTGTCCTTGGTCACGCAAAGCGCACGGTCGTCATCACTGCTGCTACTCAATCGTGTTCGACGTCGTCGAACAATAACGGCACCGTGCTCGACTTCGCCCGCGGTCTTTATTTGACACATGAGTCATGACTCACTTTCGTCTCCCCGGTGCCCGGATCTCGACACGTCGACACGGTCACACGCGTCACGGACAGGCGCGGGGGGCCCGCCGGCGCCGCTCCCGCTTCTTTCCTAGTGCGGAGAGTTCACAGTTCTTGCTTGTTTGTGAGCAGCGCTGTGTGTGTGTGTTGATGCGAGTATTCTAGCTGCTATGTGAGTATGCCAAAAGGGGCTGACGTCAAACCCGCCTTGGGGACTTTAGAGCTTTGAGTAGGCCGCCAATCTCATCAGGCCGCCGCTGCCGCTGAGGCCGAGCAAGGCTGCCTGGCGCCGCTTGAGGCGCGAGAACTCTCGACTGATCCACTCGTGGATGTGATCGGGGTACGAGATGGCGGAGACCTGGTCGATGGCTCCCTGCTCCCACTGGCGAAGTATCACCTTGTACGCCGAGACGTGCGCGACGAGCTGCAGCAGCGTGGGCTCGATCGAGGTGCCCTCGAGCAGGTCCGCGCGCGCGATGATGAGGTCGGCCGCCTTGGCGCTCAGTGGCAGCAGCACCTCCCGAACCCACTGCCGGTAGGCGCATGCGGCCGGCCCATGCGGATCGCGCCGGACCGCCGCGCGAAAGTCCGCTGCGCTCGGGCACTGGTCCGTAGCACTGCCGCTGAACTGGCGCACCATCGCCTCGTACGAGCTCTTGCTCGCGGTGACGCACGCGAGAAGAGGCCCATACAGCGACTGCAGCTGCTGCGAGACGCGCGAGACGAGCGACTTGTGCTGCTCGGAGCGCAGCGTGTGCAGCGTCGTAAAGACGTAGGAGAGGCACGCGAGCAGGATCGGCATGACGGTGGTCGGGTCAAGGTTGGGCATGGCGGCGGTGTCAGATCTTCGTGGGTGTGGTCGGCGACTAGCCGGGGTCGTCGTCCTCACGATCTAGCCGTCTTCGGCTAGGTAGAGAGGGAGAGAGGGAGGGACGGAGAGGGAGGGAGTGGGCGAGAGACGCTGGCTGAAGCAGCGAGGCCCGAAAGGAATTTTCGCTTCGCAAGGGCGACTCCCCAAGTGCTCCAAGTGCTCCCCGTGGCTCCCGCCTCTCCCCCGCCACCGCCTCCACCCCCGCCGGCGGCGTGGCCGTCACCGCACGGACCCACACGGACCTTGGGAACCCAGCGCCGCCCCGTCGGAGGCTGGAGTACCCGAGGGAGTGGACCGAGGGGGAGGCGCCGCAATTTGCCACGTGCTGACGTGCAAGCCCCACCCGGTTGACGGGCAGGCGCGTGGGGCGCGTCGCCCCGCTTGCTTGCTCAGGTAGAACGTCTAAAAAAAATAACGTCTAAAAGGACGAAAGGACCCGAATCCGCACGGAGGGCGGAGAACGACGGGCGGAGAAGACGGGCACTTGCTTGACCAGGGAGGGACTGGGAGAGTGTGAATGGAGGGACACGTGTGTTCAGACGCACCCTCGGCGCCTCGGGCGGCCGGGCGGGTGGGCTGCGGCTGGAGCTAGCAAGCATGGCTCGACAGAGAGAGCCGAGACCCCGCGTTGAGGCGGCGCTCCGGTGGGCGGCTTTGGTGGTTGTGCCCCCGGGAGGGCCAGCCCTGTCTGCGGGCGCTGTCTCTAGAGAGCGAGGAGACTTGCGAAGATCAGAGATCCGCGATAACTTTGGTTGTGTGCGCAACCGCGCAACTGAGAGAGAGAGAGAGACACACACACACGCAACTGATATGTGGCAGTTTGTCGGAAAAGCTGCCACCCATGTGTATGCTGCGTTATCTCCTGCTCTCGGTCGGGAACGTCGCGGCGGACGTCACATGCGAGTTTGTCCTGCGCCAGAAGATGAACCCGCCCGGAGGAGCTGCCCTTACGCCCGAGCCCGTCTGCGTGAAGCCGGGCACGCGGGCGCCCGTGTACGAGTTCTCGCCATCCCTGCCCAAGGCCTTCGTTGCGAGCCGGGGGGGCGTCCGCCAGCTCGGTGGCAAATTCGTCACGATTGTCGGTGGCAACGCCAGCGCCGAAAAGTCCGTCCCAACGGTCTTCATCCCAGCGAGCGCCACCGTGGTCGCAGACGGACCCGCAAGCGGCGTGCAGAGCCTGAGCGCCGCCGCCACGGGCACGAAAAAGGTCTTGGTTGCCAGGATGAGGAGCACCACACATGGTCAGGAGCCGACGCCGACGATCAATGACCTAAAGGAGCGCGTCTTTGGCATGGGAATCAGCCCCGTGGCCGTCAACTTCAAGTCGCAGTCCGCCGCCTGCTCAGAGAATGACCTTATCATCGAACCGGGTGCGTGTGTTTCCGGGAACACTGCGCCAGGCTGTGCTGAGATCAGCGACGGTGTGATGAATCTCGACCTCGACATGGACCTCTCGCCAGGCGTGGATTACAACGCGGTGCAGACTGCAGCGTTTGCAAAGCTCAACGCCTTAGGCCTGCGTGATGCCGCAACAGCCGACTATGTCATGTTTCTCTACTTCCCTCCGGGCATAAGTCCGTACCTCGAGGTATATCGCGTATGCCTACATCAATTGGTGGGCATCATTCTACAGTGACACGTGGGGCGGGTCTGTCTCCGCCCACATGCACGAAGTCGGCCACAACTTTGGACTCGCCCACTCCGGCGAGCTTGGCGAGGAGTACGGCGACCAGTCTTCGTATATGGGCTACAGCTACTCCAGTATCGGCTCGCCCGCGATGTGCTACCACGGCGGGCAGCACCGCAGCCTCGGGTGGTACAGCACCCACACCACCGAGATCGCAGCCTCCGACTTTGTCAGCGGCCAGAACGAGCTCGTCGACCTGTTCGCATTCACCGACGTCCAGGCCCTGTCCGCAGGGGACCCCGTCATCATCAAATTGGACGTCGCCAATGCGGGCTATGCGCTCTACCTACAGTACAACAAGGCGGAGGCCCACAACAGCGGCGTGGTAGAGTCCGCAAACCTCGTCACCGTCGTCCAGGACGCGCTCAACACCCCGGCGTACCAGCAGTCGTGGAAGGTGGCGTCGCTCGGTGAAGGGACCACCTACGACGACAATCTGCGCGTCAAGGTGTGCTCGCTCAACGTGGTTAGCAGCGTCGACGTCGTGAGGGTCTCTATTTCTCTCGACTACATTGGCGATCCATGCCTCACGCCGCCTCTGTCGCCGCCGCCGGCTCCCCCATCGCCGCCCCCGTCCGCTCCACCGCCGCCCGCCACATCGCCGCGGCCACCGTCGCCTCCGCCACCTTCACCGCCGCCGCCCTCCTTACCTCCGCCCTCGCCGCCGCCGCCGTCCCCACCTCCCCCATCGCCGCCGCCAGCGTCGCCACCACCGTCGCCACCACCACTACAACCGCCTAGTTGCCGCCACCGCCTTCTCCACCTCCTAGGCCGCCGCCACCGTCGCCACCACCACCTTCACCGCCGCCGCCCTCGCCGCCGCTCCCCCCGCCACCGCCCTCGCCGCCGCCACCCTTGCCACCGCCCTGGCCGCCGCCACCCTCGCCGTCGCCGCCCTCGCCACCACCCTCGCCGCCGCCGCCCTCCCCACCTCTCCCATTGCCGCCGCCAAGGATCTCGGCGGGCTACCACCACACCTGCGGCATCCGGGCGGACACCTCGCTCGCAGAGTGCTGGGGTAACAACAACTGGGGCCAGAGCACCGTCTTGCCAAACGTGCCCTACACGCAGATCTCCGCGGGCATCTACGGCCACACCTGCGGAATCCGGGCGGACAGCTCGCGCGCAGAGTGCTGGGGTTACAACTACTATGGCCAGACCACCGTCCCGCCAGACGTGGAGTACACGCAGATCTCGGCGGGCTACTTCCACACTTGCGGCATCCGGGTGGACACCTCGCTCGCAGAGTGCTGGGGTCGCAACAACGACGGCCAGACCACCGTCCCGCCAGACGTGGAGTCCACGCAGATCTCGGCGGGCTCCGGCCACACTTGCGGCATCCGGGCGGACACCTCGCTCGCAGAGTGCTGGGGTAACATCGAGTACGGCCACACCGACTGGGGCCAGACCACCGTCTCGCCAAACGTGTCCTACACGCAGATCTCGGTGGGCGGCTATCACACTTGCGGCATCCGGGCGGACACCTCGCTCGTAGAGTGCTGGGGCTACAACGAGTACGTCTCGCCAAACGTGCCCTACACGCAGATCTCGGCGGGCTACCTCCACACTTGCGGCATCCGGGCTGGCAACTCGCTCGCAGAGTGCTGGGGTTCCAATACCTACGGCCAGAGCACCGTCTCGCCAAACGTGCCATACGGACTGCCGGCGCCGTCGCCATCGCCATCGCCGCCGGCCTCGCCGCCGCCCCCCTCGGCATCGCCATCTCCGCCGCCGTCGCCGTCGCCGTCGTCTCCGCCGCCGTCGCCTTCGCCGTCGTCGCCCTCGCCACCGTCACCTTCGCCACCACCGCCTTCGCCCTCGCCGCCGTGTGGCGAGGTATCGTTCGACATTCATTGGGACGGGGGCGGCACTCGCAGCTTCGAGATGCAAGTCGCAACGGGATGCGGTGGCCCTGTCAGCGTCGACGTCAGATATGCACGCGGCTGGCCGAATTCGTGCTGCCCGGGATCCAACGCATGCTGTGGCTATCAGCAAATCAGCTTCTCTCCATCAGGCACGAGCGTTTACTCAGTCTCGCCAAATTCAGGCTGCTGGAGTTGCTACGTGGAGAAGACTGTGACTGGGCTTTCGGTGGTGCCCGGCCTGAACACCTTGTCCGTGTGGGATAATGATGGCCAGAACACACGCCGCTACAGGGTTTACTATCCCCCACCCTCACCGCCGTCACCGCACCTCCCACCGCCGCCCTCGCCGCCACCACCCGTGCCGCCGCCACCATTACCGCCACCACCGAGCCCGCCACCGGAACCCTCGCCACCCCCCCCTCGCCGCCGCCACCCTCACCGCCGCCACCTCCCTCGCCGCCGCCCCCCTCTCCGTCTCCGCCTCCTCCTAGCCCGCCTCCTCCGAGCTCACCATCCCCTTCTCCCCCATCGATCCCGCCGCCGACCCCTCCGCCTCCCTCGCCGCCGCCGCCAACGCCGCCGCCTCCGTCGCCGCCGCTTCCGTCCGCGTCGCCGTCGCCGCCGCCTCCGTCCGTGTCGCCCTCGCCGCCGCCTCCCTCGCCAGAGCCATCGCCGCCGCCTCCACCCTCGCCAGAACAGCCCGAGCCATCGCCGCCGCCTCCACCCTCGCCAGAACAGCCCGAGCCGTCGCCGCCGGAGCCGGAGCCACCGCCGTCGCCGGCCCCGCCGCTTCCACCGCCTCCACCGGGTCCGCTTTTGCTAAGCAACCCGCGAACGTCGGCTGGCTCTACTGCTTTCGCCAAGCGGGTGCACGCACCCGCCCCCTCGCTCCAGGCACAGCGTCCGATATCTCGTGTGTGCGTGTCTCACTCCCTCGCCTCGTGCCCGCAGTTCTTGGCCAAGGTGACCGACGGCAAAAGCAATACTTTCTTCAAGAGCAAGAAGAACAGGAAGAACCCGTGGTTCTCCGCCAAGGCACCCCGGCGTTCCTCGCCCTCTCCCCTTCTTTGGCGCTTCAGTTGGCTCCTCCCGCGATACGTTAGGTCACCCTGGAAAATCAGCAGCCCGTCCGCTCCGTGACTGTCACCAAGACGTCAAAGGCGAGGAAGTATCTCGAGGACTTCGAGGTCTGGATCGGCAAGAAGGCTGGAGAAAAGGCGGTGAAGTGCGGCGGACCGTTCGCCTGGTCAAAAATCAAGAAGGGGCCAGTCACGACGCCGTGCGATTCTGTCAACTCCAAGTGCGTGTGCCTCAGCCGCCGCCTTTTAGTCGCCGCGCGCCCTACGCACCCTACTACTAGTCCCCTATTTTAGGGGCGGCCAGGCAGCGAAATCTTACTCCCCCCCCACCCCCCTCCCATCCTGCCGCGGGCAGGCACCGCTACGTCACTGTCATTCTCCCGGGCACTAGAAGAACGCTCGCGTTTTGCGAGATAGAGGTACATTAGCCAGGCGCGAGTGCGTGGGCAATGCGACGTCGCGCGATGTGTGTTGTCAAATCTGTGTGTTGTCAAAGCGAGGAGGACGGCGGGGCGTCTGGCTGCCCGTTTCAACGAACTCGAGAACGAGATGACGTAGAGTATGCCTGTATGCGCAACCTGGCTTGCCTCTGTCTTTGGACTTTGCTTCTCCGCACGCCCACAAGCGGATGCCCTCCTCCGCGAGCAAGGCGTGAAAGAGGAGCGAGACGGCCGTGACGCGAGCGATGTCGATGGGGCTGGCGAAGCGGGAGAGGACGCGCTCGAGGAGCTCCCTGGGGAGGTCGAGCAGGTGGGCGGGCGGGGGGCGGCGGCGTATCTGGCGAGGGCGCGGCGGTGGCGGAGGCGGCGACGAGGCGGCGCGAGCGGCGGCGCGGCGGGGTGGACATCGCGAAGAAAAGAAACGGTAGCGGCTTGCCCCTACCCTCTTGGCCTGCTAGTACCACGCACCGCTTTGCTCGGTTGCTCGGAGGCAGCGGAGGCTGCGCGCCGTTCGCGAGCGGAGGAGATGTCGCGCCGCTGAACGCTCCCGGCGTCCCGGGCCCGCAGCCGCACCGTACCGACGCGTACCCGCTACCGCACCCCGGGCCAGCGCGCCCAGGGGAGGGGTGATCGCGGAGCTATGAATCAGAGATCGCCGTACAACAACTGCCACGCCGGTATTTAACGCTTCCCCAAAACACACTCGTACCATCCTTCGATTGCGCGCCCACAGACCGGTCGGGCCCTCGGGCCCCTGTGTGTAGACGCTATATCCTATCAACAGGTCGCCCTCAGAAGAGGTGATCGTTTTACAGTGTGAACCACAGCTTGCTTGTGAGCCACGTCACCAGTATGTCTATAAAACTGAAATGCCCCTGCACATTCGCGACCACATGCACATGCTAACAGTGCTCGCTGCATCAGGTACACTCATCGCGTCCCTTGTCGTCGCGGACCGAGCCTTCCTTCGCGGGACAGCGGGCCTCCTGTAGCCCTAGGGTGTCGGCATCGTGCATGCGGCGGAAGAGTCCAGTGACGTTGATGTTGAGGCGCCTTCCTTTTGCTAGCACAGCCGCTACCAGGAAGCTCAGAGCCGTGCAGCCTGCCGCTACCTGACCTGCCGCAGCCTGCCGCTCTGTGCGTGTGTACTCACCTTCCACCACACGCGAGCAGCCGACCGTGCCGTATTGCCGCACCGACTCGTGTGTGGTTGGCGACCTCTCCGCCTTCAGATAGCACTGGCGCCACTTGTTGTACACGACAGCCACGCACGAGGCCCCATGGCGCACGCACAGCTCTTGGCAGCTGCGTCTCGTTTGCGCAGACATCGTGCGGCAGCCTGGCTTGTTCGCGGAGTTATGGCTGTCAGGCACGCAACGTCCCACATAGTTGACCCCGGCTTCGCAGGTGAAGCCGTCCACCGTCGAGTCGTCTGGCCCACTCCAGCGTGCCCACGAGTCGACGATCGCCGGCACGCGCATCCATAGCCGGCGCACCTCCTCGCGGTATAGGATGGAGAGTACGCCGTCCGACCAGCTCGCCGCCTTGAGCCGTCGTGCCGCCGGATGCCATGAAGTCCGTCGAGCGATGGCGCTCAGCGCTGCGAGGCTCTCGCCGCTCCACTGCACGGTCGGCAGTCCGAGGAAGCGACGGATGCGCGAGGCAGTCGCCGGCGTGTCGGCTACGACGCCTTCCATTCCGAGCACAAGCACCGATCCGCCAAAGCTTCGCTCCCAGGCGGCGAGCTTGTCCGTCACAAACCCGCGCGCGAGGTATTGTTTACAGCTGCCGCACCACGTCCCGTTGGTATGGTAATTCCAGCGGAGCCAGTCGCGCCGCCAGTGCCTCAAGCACTGTGAGCCATTCTCCGTGATTCCGAGCGCCGCAACGGCCCCCTTTGGCGCATACCACGGCTGGATGCTCGCCGCGACCTGGAGTGCGAGATCCGACGCCCTTGCAGGCCGCGCCGCTCCTGCCGTGGCGGCGTCCGAGCACCGATGCCACAGGTCTTCGAGCTCTTCTCTCACCGCCCTGTCGAAGCTGCGCAGATCGCCCGATGGCTCAGTCGGCACAAGCGATCCTTTTTGATTCTGCGCCCATGCTGCATAGGCCCGATCAACCGGGTCGCGCAGGGTGATGAGCAGCGCCGCCCGCGGCAGTGTAAAGTGCAGCGATCCCCAGATGTGAGCGTTTTGGAAATAGTCCGGCGACCCGTCCACAAGCCAGCCGTCTGAAGCATATTGGTCGAGGAGCTGTTTGCAGTGGACGGTGTCGCGATGGGAGCCTGAGCAGTCATTGTCCTCGAAGAAATGCAGCTCCTTTGTACGGTACGCTGGGTGTGTATTGGGTAGCCTCAGCGCCAGAAGCAGCACAGCGTGCAGCAGCGTCGTGCCTGCCTTCTGGACGCCAATGACGAGGGCGGACCGCGTACGGTTGGCGTCGTCGGTCATCGTCGATTCGGCAGCGCGTTGGGGGGTAATGGCAATCTCGAGCCTCACAATTGTGCTCGCCCGGCGCGCCGGCGTTGTGCTTCAAAAAAGAAAGAATCCGTTGAGCTCCCCGGAGGCTGGATGTGCGGTTAATGACTGCACTCCAAGTGCTCCAAGTCTAGACAGGGTTGTGGCTCCACGGTTGTGTCTTTGCGATGGATTTTCTTGTCAGTGTCTTTTTGGCCAAAAGTATGCAAGCTGCAGCACGGCCCACTCGTGCCGCTCTCAGGCGCATCAACACCCTTGTGCTTGTCTCACCCGTCAGGGGCAAGATGTCTGGCCTTTACCTCAACCGTGTCTACGGCGACCGCCCGGTCAGAAAAAGCATGGCTGCACCGCTCCTGATGAGTAATTGGACCTAAATTGGCGAAACTCGGCGGGCACGCACGCACTTATCGCTCGACGCCCGCCGCCTGACGAGTGGGATGCGTGCGACTGGCATCCGGCGCAACGACGACCAGACGCTACTAGACCCCAGCGTCATGGCTGCATTCGGCCGAAGCAACGACGTCGTACGCTGTCGAGGAACAGATATCAAGCCGCGGCCCTACACCCTCGAGAGAAAGACAAACAGGGGCGACATCGCGGCAACGAGCAGGATCACATGGGCGGGGCTAGGGCGGAGATGGCTCTCCTGCGCCTGCTCACCTTCCCGCCCGCTCGGGCGCTGCCGTGGTGTTGGCAACCCGCCCGGCTTGGACAGGGGCTGGTAGGGCGCATGGGCGTCACCGTCAGCTAAACTGAGATTTATTGTGCACATGGTTGGCCGGTCTACAATATAGATAGACACTTCACCTCCTAGAGCTCGTCCCGGTCCGCCACGGCCATCCTCGGCCTCCGGATGGCCCCCGCCCCCCGGCCGCGGCGCGGTGCAACCGTTGTGCGGCGGCGTCACAAATCCCGCGGCAGAGGGTGGCAGAGCACCGGGCGGGACACGGGCGGGCGGGTGATCTGAGGTCCATTCATTCCAACTAGGCGTATACATTGCCTACCCAGGGCTATCACCTGGACCTATCAACAGGCGCCTGCGGCGCCGCGCTCAGGAGCTGCTGTGCTCCAACGGTTACTAAAATCATGGTTGTACTTTTAGCTTACTGGGAGAAAAGAGAGAGGGGGTTGTGTTCTCTAGGCCCCTAAGGGCCCTCTCTCCTCTTGCATAGAATACTCCTTCCATTGTTCGGCCTTCCCTTCAATCTTGCAATAGCATCGACGGCGCGAGTAATGCGACTTGCAGTGGCACAGGTCTACTCCACCCCCGACAGTATCGATGTTGCGAGGCGCAGCTGGCTCGCCGGCGTCCCTGCCATCTTTGCCGGGGACCTTGAGGATTCTTCACGAAATCTGAGGTTTGTGCCTGGGCAGGACGCCTTTGCCCGTCGGTATGGGCCTTCGAACCACAAGTTTGACAACCGGCCCCTCGCGCTTATTCGGCTCGCCAACCGCACGCTTGAGTTTGACTGGCTCCTTGTCGGCGACATGGACACCTGCTTCCATGTCGACGCCTTGAGAGCTGCGCTGTCGCCCATCAATCCGGCTCGCCGGCACTTTCTTGGCATGCCGGCACCGCCGGGTCAGACGAGTTGCAGCAGCGAGAAAAGTATACTTGCGGGAAAATGCTGCTCTATCCAAGACCTCGTACACTTCTCCGACTGTGTGCTGACTGTGCGCAGAGCGCGGCACTTCCGCAACAGCTCCATCAAACACCCGCACGTTGCAAACGGGCGCGGTTATGTCTATGCATTTCCTCACGGGGGCGCTGGCTACGTCCTATCGAGCGGACTGCTCCGGGCCATCTCGGAGGCGCAATGGAGCACTTGCGAGTCGGAGCTCCTCGAGGGCGGCGGCGACCTGCGGGTGGGTGCCTGCGTGTACCACACCACCGGAGTGGGGCTGACAGAGCTACCTGGTTTGCTCGGGAATCTCAGCAGGCACAAGGAGGTCTGTCCGTTTAGTAAGAGCCGTGTAGGCCCGCACTTTCGAACTCGCGCAACCGCGCGGTGGGTGCTATAGTAGGAGGCCGCTGACGAAGTTCTGCATAGGCCATCAGCGCACAGCGCTTAGTCGACGTCTCGATGTCTCTGGTGTATCAAAAAATGCAAACCTTGGGTCTACAAAATTTCTTCTTGAACGGGCAGCATATTCTCCCTCTCACAATTCCATGGGCACATACACCGTCGACCTCGGGCCCACCGGGTCCGGGAGCTAGCGGCGCACGCGTTCGCCCCCTCGAGTGCGTCCCGCCTGCGCTCCCTGAAGCGCGTCTACGACCCCGGCCGGCTCTTTGCGCACTGCCTGCCGCTTGCGGCGGGTACACAGTTGTTTCAATAATGAAATTCTTTTTCTGACGCAGCCGCTCGGACTAGCTAGCCGCCTGATATATGCCCGAGCCGCAGCAGCCAGACGCGCGGAGCGCGCCGCTGCTTGACCCTGAGAACGCCGTGAGGTGCGACACCGAGGGCGAAGCAGCCTCTGGCCCGTCGCCTCAAGCCAGCGAGGCGCCGCCGCCGGCCACAAAGGGCTCCGGCTCCGCGGCTCTGGTGTTTGTGCTCTGGAACACGATGATGGGATCGACGCTGCTCGTGATGCCCTCTTGCTTCCGCGAGTCGGGCTGGCTCCTCGGCCTCGTCCTCGCGGTGCTCTGCGCCGGCGTCTCGCAGTACACGTGTGGCGTCGTGCTGCTGCACGGCATGCGGCTGCCAGACCCGCAGGCCGAGGTGGCGGACCTGGCGCACGCGTACCTCGGGCGGTATGGCTGGGGCGCCACGCTCTTCGCCTCGGTCGGCGTCTGCTTCGGCGCCGCGTGCGCGATGCACGGCTACCTCGCCACGTCTCTCAACGACCTGCTGGTCGACTCTCGAGAGCAAGGCGGGCTCGGCCTCGCCTCCGCGTGGACGTCGCTCTCGCCGAACCCTAAGGGCGTGGCGGCGGCGCTTGTGCTGGCACTGCTCCTCCCGCTCTGCTCGCTGCGCTCGATGGCGCTGCTCGCGCGCCTCAACGGCGTCGGCATCGCCTGCCTCTTTTTGATCCTCGCCTTCATCGGTGCCTCGGCCGTCGCAAACGGCCTCGCGCCAGAGGCGCTCGCGCCAGCCTCGCTCGCGCAGCCGTCGCTCAAGGTGCTCGGCACGCTCGCCCTCTCCTTCTTCATCCACTCGATCGCCATCACCATCTTCCGCGCCGCAGCCACGCCCGCGCACAATGCGCGCAACCTCGGCGCCGCCTCTCGAGCGCAGCCTGGGGAGATCGGCCGAGATCAGCCGAGGTGCACCCGAGAGGGAGCGAGATGTAGGCGCCGCCTATGCGCTCGTCCTGCTCACCTACGTCTCCGTCGGCGTCTCGGCCAACCTGTGCCCGCCGCTCGGCGACCCTCTTCTCTCGCCCGCGGGCGAAGGGTCTGCGGCCGATGCCAAGCCACCCGCCCCATTCGGTGGGAGTAGGCGACCCTGCCTCGCTCGAGTCTGCGGCGGCGCGCAACTCCTTCCTCTCCGTGCGCCAGCCGCCCTCGCTCGCCACGCCGCTGCTCGTCGCGCGCTTCGCCGTCGTCCTCCAGTGCGTCACCGTCTACCCGGTCCTCGTGTACGCCATCCGCACTCAAACTTTCTGCGCGCTCGTCTACCGAGACCCGTACCCCGGTCCACGCACCCGCCCCTCGCGGGCCGGACCCACTCAGCGACCGCGCCCTCTCACGCGCCCGCCGCCGTGCGCTCAGGCGCGCTCCCCGTCCTCGGCCTCAACGCGATTGTGCTCTGCGCGACCGCCGCCGTCTCCATTTTTGGGCTGCACATCGCCGACGTGCTGCGCTTCACCGGCGCCTTCGCCGCGCTCGTCATGGTGTACGCCGTGCCCGCAGGCGTGCAGTGGGCCGAGCTCGCCGCCGCGGCCAGGTCGAGCCGCCGCGCGCGCGCGGCGCGGTTGGCGCTCACGGGAGGGCT